TATATATATATATATATATATATATATATATATATATATATATATATATATATATATATATATATATATATATATATATATATATATATATATATATTATATATGTATCCTCGCAAAGCATAATGGGAGCACGATTTAAGCAGTTTAGAAAGCATATATGGAGCCAAGTTCTGAGAGACATGATAAATATTTCCCTGCAAAAACATTTCACTGACAAACAGGTGCAATAATCAATATATATATATATATATATATACATATATATATATATATATATATATATATATATATATATATATATATATATATATATATATATATATATATATATATATATATATATATATACCTTGTGGGGCAAAAAAAGTACGACGCTTTGAATTGGTATAACATCAGAACTAAAAGAGCAATGACAATAAAACTCCTTTATTGGCATTTAGCGATGTCTAACTTAAATTTTGATATATGCCATGCACATTTCCCTGCCATATTGACAAAGATACGTGCATTTGAACAAGAGTAACATTTTTGAAACTGAGAGAATTAAGCTAAAAACGGCCTATTAAATATTAATACCTTTATATACAAAAACAACTTGTGTTAAGACGCGTTATACTCTATAGTCAGTACATTAACGCTTGTTGTTCAAAAGCAATCATCTATTCATCAGCAAATTCATGTCCCCCGGCACAATTGCAACATCTTGCCCGTGAAATGGGACAGCTCGTTCTAGACTCATTAGAACATACAGACTATCTATCCCATGGGTATCGGATACCTTCTAGGAACAAAACTTTTAATAAAATAGGCCTTATAAGTTCACATCCATTGCACAACATCGTAAAACAAAAAATAAAAAGTCAGTGAATGAAGAAATATTTCAATAATTTCGACTTCACTTCATTGAAACAATAATCGCGAACAAATCGTAACGGTTATTGAATTAGTTTAATAGGGGCTTTTCGGCAATTATTGGCGGTTCCAAAAATGTTTGCGTAAGTTTAAACACAATTATCTCAGTCATAATCGCATGAAAATGCACCAGACATATATCAAAATCTAAGTTAAACATCGCGGAATATAGGGTGATTTATTTAGGAGTAATAGCTCTCTTAGTTTTTGAGTCATAGTAATAGTCATAGTAGTTTTTGAGTCATATATATATATATATATATATATATATATAATATACAAACAGGTTATAACACTGCCACGACTCCAAGTGAAATTATTTAATAAAAAAATATATATATAGCTTTAAATTTTCGGCAGCATGCCACC